AAATTCTGTATCTAAACACATGTAATTCTATGGCTTATTTCTCGATAATGAGAATTTCTCGGATTCTGATTTATGGCTCATTTGTTAGCTTAAGATGTGTATTTAAAGTGGTATAAATTTAGTTCATATACCATTGGTATGCCATATAATTATAATGAAAAACAAATAATTTATAATGTTATTCTATGGGATATTCTTTAGTTATAATTATATGGTAATGTGTATATAATAATAATGTTTTATTCTGGAGAGTCCTCACAATATAATTGGATTTTCATTAAAAAAAAGTATTTTTAATGTTTTGTAATGATCACGTGTTATTATATTTTCCCCAATTGTGTGAGTATTACGATGTAATTGAGTTGAAAGCAAAATATCTATTAAATATAAATTATTAAATATTAATTTGAAATTTTGTCACAACTTTTAAATTAGATATTTACCGATAATAATGTACTCCGGTTATAGGGAATAAATCCCCCGATTGTGAACCCCGTATATGTGTTAAAGGACTGAGCCTTCAGGCACCGGTAGTTACGATACGAGTTCTCAGACATACGATGAGATGAAACGTCCATTTTATCCAAGTGTTTGAAGAATACCTGAACCAATGTCTGTGGCATACCATGGATCAGACAATGGACAACCAGTTTTGAAGAGGGTATTATAATTGCTAGAATAAGGTCGAGCTGGATGACCTGTTTCCTCACATTAGCTATATATATGAATAGCATTATTGATATGATATTCACCAGAGTTTCCATGAAATTAATAATATATATCCAATAAGTGTTATCCAACTCACAAATTGTATCGTGAATATTGTTAAACTTTTTCCTGATTTTTTCCATATTGCTAAAATGTCCAAGATGCTAAATAATTTTTTATAACTATTATTTACAAAAATAAAACTATCAATTAATTTATGAAATAAATTATTTAATGTTACTTTATGTATTTCTTGACATAAGTTGTCCATTGTTTCAGCCGCTGATAATGATATGCCTAAATATTTTTAACATTAATATGAATACATTTAATAATTAATATTTTAAAATAATTATGTTTGTATCCACCATACCCGTCATAACCAACTGTGCAGTAGATTGACCAATACAATTATAGATATAAATAATAATGTCAATCACCAGCATTAAATTATAGGTTGCTGTAGCCAATACTCCCATTAGTTTAATGATCATTAAAGCGAAAACTAAGATGTGCAAGCTTAAAATAATAGTTATATTTTTTATCCGTCTCATGAATCCAAGTTTTAGCCAGACACTTATAATATGAGCCCCATTAACAGGTATGTATAGAAAGTTGATATAAATCTGAATAGTGTTTATCCAACGAATTATAACCTCTATTATATAAATAATAGGAAAGTCATGTTTAGCCACAAATGTAACAGCTGTAGTGTCTGCCGTGATAATTGATCTAGCTACATGGGCGACTAATACACCCCCAGTGACCATAAATCCGATCAATTTTAGAGGTTTATTATGAGAGATAGTTTTCTCTTTTGTGATACATATACCGCCAAACGTTATACCAAAACAGCGATAAAAGTATATAAATAATCTTAGGAATAGAGTATTATTTATATCACTGTTTAAATCCATTTATGATTAACGTAAAGTTGCTCTGTTATGATCTATAACACCAATATTTTTAATCAAAAATTGATAGTGTTATATATATACAATAATGTATTTATTGTTGATGTTTGTACAGTATATTGTCATATATTTACGTCATCAATATCGGTAAATATAATATAAATTACATTTAGTATGTTATTTTTAAAATACAAAAAATATTTATTAATATACTGATAGCACACTTGTGTAACATTGGATTGTTTTATAATAAATAATTCAAGACATTGGCTAACATATGACGCAATAATTTTAAAAACAAATTATTTTATTCATTTATTCAAAACAAATTATGTATTCATATTTCATTTAATGTATGTAATTAAATAAATAAATAATTAAATAATGGATTTTATTCAATGAACTTGTCAATGAAAATAATGATACATATTTGTTTAAAAACAATTATTTAAAAGGTTCACACAATTCTTATAATTATTTACATTTCTTACATTAATTGGTAAATCGTTAAAAAGTTTTATACAAAAATCAAATATACATTTGTCTGACTTTACAAGTCTATTAAAATCTTTTTTACATTTAACTCCATGTCTATGGGCCTCATAAAATTCAACACTATTTTATCCAATTGTCAGGTATTTCTGGTGATTTGAATTTAATCTTAAAAAATAGTTTCATTAATTGAATATATCGTGGCTTTTGTAATGAGTTTATGTCTAGTAGTTTGAGTCGTTGCTCATAATTAAGACCATATTTATTAAGCTTAAAACATACATATTTAGTGATTTTTCTTTGGATTTTTTCTACTTTTAAACATTGAGTTGAATTATAAGTGAGACAAAGATTACAATACTCTAAAATAGATAAGACATAAGTTTTATAAAGTTTTAAAAATGTTTTACTATCAACGCAATTACAAATATGTTTTAATATATAATACTTTTTAATAGCCTTTTCACAAATGTAATTAACATGATTATTAAAACACTTATTGTTTGACCATTATTCAAATAATGTGCTAGAATAGTGTATTGTATAGTAAAGTATATTGATACATAAAACACCTGTTTACTAATTTGACAACGTGTATATAAATATCTTATGATTAGACTATATTATTAGCAATATTTAATTTAGTATATTACTGATATTACGGTAATATTTAGAAATATTTCATTAAATTAAGCGTTAATTTCATCATTGAATTTCTTATAGTAAATGTGATTTTGATAAATGTAGTGTTAATTTATTGAATGCCACATGGAATATTATCAATGTTATTTTATTTGTGATTCATCATGAATGATGAAATATAAAAATAATTGTGTGTAAATTATATCAATTTATTAAAATTACTATAAATATAAATCTATATAAAAAGATGTTTTATGTTTTGTTGGAAATTTTGTGTAACTTTAAATTAATTGTTTGATTTTGATATTAAATAATTTATACATTTTACCATGAATTCAAGTGAATATTTTTGGGTGAGCTATGTATTAAATTTATTTTAGACATACTAAATTTTAAAGTTTGTAAAATTTAAATTAGGATTTGAGTGAATATCTCAATATAGAGAATACATACACAGAATTCACACTCATTTTCATACCGTTCCTCACACTATGTACGCCAGTATTGTATGAATTGCTCAGTAAGTCAAGTAAACATACCTCAACAACTATACGACATCCCCTTCCTAGGACTACACTCTTATTGGCCAAAATTGTAACTATTTAAACTATGTACTAGGTCATAAACTTATTAAACTAATTTATAAATTGATTTTTCAGACTTTAACAGCAGTGCTATTAGTATTAAGTATTATACAACTTGTAAACACAATTTACAAAACATTTAATGATTTTTATATTGCTGAGAATTACCTACAAATTGTAACACCATTTATTAAGACATTATGTTTTGTAAGTATTCATAAAATTTTAATTTGCTAGTGGCAATAATATTAACTTTTTTATTTTGTATATAAAGTTTTATACAATTACTTTACTAAACAAACCCCCAAAACATGGAATCAATTCATCCGGAGTTTTATTATTCATATTCTGGTTATTCTTGTCGATGGGAACCGCTTTTGATTATTTAACAAACTTCTGGATTAGATTCAGTGATGTATTAAAATTGCATTTTAAATGTGTTTTTCTTTCAATCATTAAAGACATAACTTTTTTTAGTCATCAATTGACTCGAGTGTTGATATCAGTGGATATTTAACGAAATCCCTTTCGTTTCCACTAATTATCGTTCAGTTATTCCTCTCGTGTTTTGCGGACTCCACTCAAGACATCACTTCCCAAATCCCTGAAGTATTTCTTGTGATAGCCTTAAGATTAGAAAATAATTGTTAAAAATACTGTATTTCCCAGAAATGGTGTCCCAAAACAAGCGCCTCATTCCTCTCGAAACTGACGTTTTCGTGGTTCACACCAATGGTTATGAAAGGCTATCGCAAACCACTGACCACTCAAGACATGTGGACACTGGAGGACAAGTGCCAGACCTCTGTTTGTGTCGAAAGATTCAACAAATACTGGAAACCAATCGCTCAAATTAAAGACCAAGAGCATATTAATATTTTGATACCAATTTTGCGTACATTTTGGCCGACACTTACTATCAATTCATTAATTAAACTGACGGCTAGTTTACTACAATTAACGCAACCCTTACTACTCGACCGACTCTTAACATACTTGACATCGCAAACAAGTGAACCCGAATGGACAGGCTATTCGTATGCCGTACTAATGTTTGTGTGCCCTATGATGGCATCAATATTGGACGGCCAGTACGAGTACCGGCAAAATGTGGATTCAATGCGAATTAAATCATGCATAGTATCCAAACTATATGAAAAGGTTAGCCTGTACAAATCACACAGGGTGTGCACTAATACCTAACCTCCCATTCCCCTCCACCCATTAGTCCATAATGTTGTCGAGTGGTGGACGTAAAGAGTTTACGAGTGGTGAGATTATAAACCTCATATCAGTGGACATGGGTCGGGTACACTTTTTCTTGAAAATGTACAACACTTTATGGCTGAGCCCCTTACAGATATGCATATCCATAGCGCTGTTATGGAAACAATTAGGTGTGTCCAGTCTGGCCGGCATTGCCTTTATGGCAACTATGATACCCATAAACACCATGAATAACAATAAAATGGAAAGCCTTTGGACACAACTACTCGAGTGGAAGGACAAGAGGGTTATGGCTATCAATGAGATACTAAACAACATTAAAGTATTAAAGTTATACGCTTGGGAACAGGCGTTTATGGACAATGTGCACAAATTAAGGGAACATGAGACTAATGTTCTGGATACTTATATCAAGTCTAGCACTTGGACTTCATTCACATTGAATGCCAGTGGACTTATTGTATGAGCTTATTATTTTGTGGTTATTTAACAATATAAGATAAAAAACATTATTATAATTATTTGTTAATTTATAGGTAAGTGTATTGAGTTTCACGGCCTTTACATTCAGCTCCGACCAGAATATTCTTGACGCAAATAAAGCATTTGTTTCGCTTTCATTATTTACTATTATAGGTAAGCAAGCACACGCAAATAATTTTTCTAAAAATATTTTGATATTCTTAAAATAACTAATTCTGTAATAAAAAATTTTAATTTTAATTATTAATTTATTCAATAAATAAATAGGCTCACAATTTCATCAAGTCCCAGGTTTCATATCGCAAACTATAAAGGTGTATTAAAATAGCTTACCTTAATTAATTAACCTATATTAATTAATTTTACAATATTTAATTTTATTAGTTTTCAGTAATCATTCGCAGAATAAATAAATATTTAAACGGCAATGAAGTCAATGAGAAGTTTATTACACATAAAGTCAATGAGAAAAATCCTATTATTGTGAAAAACGGTTCATTCAAATGGGGTCAGGAATCGAGTGATAAAGTACTCAAAAATATTAATTTAAATATTGAGAGTAACTCTTTGGTGGCAGTCGTGGGTCAGGTCGGGGCTGGAAAGTCATCCCTACTGTCGGCACTATTGGGGAATATGGAGAAAACTAATGGCGAAGTAAATATCAGCGGAACGGTAGCCTATGTTTCACAACAGGCGTGGATTCAAAACACTACTCTCAGACAGAATATTCTGTTCATTAATGAATACAATAAGAGATTCTATGAGAAAGTGTTGGATTCGTGTGCTTTGAGACCCGATTTGGAGATCCTTTTGGCTAAAGATATGACAGAAATCGGCGAAAAGGGTATCAATTTGTCGGGCGGACAGAAGCAAAGGGTTTCACTCGCGAGGGCTGTCTATTCAGACGCCGACATCTACTTATTGGACGACCCATTAAGGTATTAATTAGCTGTTTATTAGTATATGTAGTAGTATTTAACGCTTGTTTGACTACCAGTGCTGTTGACGCCCACGTCGGCAGACACTTATTTGATGAGACAATCGGTCCGAAAGGCATTCTTCGTAATAAAACCCGTATTTTAGTGACACATAAGGCATCGGTTTTGCCAGAAGTGGACAAAATAGTTGTCTTAAAGGAGGGACTGATCTCTGAATTCGGATCATTCGATGAACTGATGGCTAAAAGTGGAGAATTCGCTGAATTTATAGCCGAATATGTGTTGAGACAGGAGTCGGAAGGGGTGGACATCGACGACGAGAAAGAGTTGGAAATGTTAGCAAAACTGAGACAAAGAGTGAAACCAATTATCGAGAGACAAGAATCGCGTAACTCATTGGCCAGCGATGGTCTGGTCCGACGACAGGGAAGTCACATCTCGACGACCACTGATAGCGAAGACCAGAAAATACTAGAAACTGGAGAACAGAGTCAAGACGTACAACAAAATGATGGGAAACTTATGGATGAGGAGAAACCAGAGACCGGTTCCGTTAAAACCCATGTCTATAAGCAGTACTTCCGTTGGGTTGGCGTCCGATACCTGATTGTCATACTCTTGTCGTATATCATCGCAAACACCGGAGCGGTGGCGTCGGGTCTTTGGTTGAGTAAGTGGTCGGCCGATGCGCTCGACCCTCAACTGGTTGATGATTACAACCTACGTCTGGTAAGACTGGGTCTGTTCGCAGGGTTTTGTATCGTGCAAATGGTGTTCATATTCTCAGCCCAACTGTCCATTAGTCTGGGATGTATGGGTGCGGCTAAACGGTTGCACCGGCTTATGATGGAGCGTATGATGAGAGCACCCGTCGCTTACTTCGGTATTATTTGTATTAATTTTTAACACAAATACTTGATTCCGATTACAATTATCGACATACCCTTCAGATACAACACCTGTCGGTCGTATTGTGAGCCGATTCTCGGAGGACATGGAGCTCATAGACAGTGAACTACTGTATGATTTCCGTCTAATGTGTCTGAAATTTTTCTCACTTATCGTATCAATGGGTATGATATCTCTGGAAACACCGCTTATTATGTTAGCCATACTTCCCATAATCATAACGTACGTCACGTGTCAACGCATTTATACCGCGGGTTTACGGCAAATACGACGACTCACATCGACCTCCAGTTCCCATATTATTAGTCATTTTGGAGAGACATTTAGCGGCACGTCCACCATCAGAGCCTATGAAGCGAAACGACATTTCCTTCGTGAATCGCACCGTCGTATCGATGAAAGTAATGCCTGCGCCTATCAATTGGTTTGTTCCCAGGGATGGCTCGCTATAAGACTGGAGCTCTTGGGCTATAGTATAGTGTTTTTGTCGGCTCTGTTCGCAGTGGTCTTCCGGGAGACAGTGAGCGCAGGTGTGGCCGCACTGGCCATCAGCTATGCCCTCAACATAACCACTCTTATCGAGAAGTTTATTTTAGGTGTCACAGAGACAGAGACCGATATCCTGGCCGTCGAGAGGTGTCTGAAGTTCATTGAAATGCCTTCCGAGGTATCTATTGATATGCTTTTATGTCTTGAATTGAGTAAACAAAAAGTTTTTTTAAAAACTATTTGAATTTGTTTTGAACATTCAAATAGTTTTGATATTTGTTCAGTCATTTGATAAGAATATTCTGTAATATTCTTGTGTTTTGTTTATTACTAATTATTAATTATTTTTCATGTGATTTGAAGGCCGAGTGGTTCAACGATCGGACAAAACCGCCGTCCGATTGGCCACTAATGGGAGGAATAGTGTTCTCCAACTATAGCACCAAATATAGACAGGAATTGGATTTAGTGCTCAAAAACATCACATTAGATGTCAAACCGAGGGAAAGGCTGGCAATAGTGGGCCGAACCGGCGCTGGAAAGTCATCCCTGGCTTTGGCTCTCTTCCGACTTATCGAAGCCACTGATGGGACGGTTAGTATCGATGGCATCGACTGCTCGACAATAGGTTTGCATGACTTGAGGTCTCGGCTAACAGTCATACCTCAAGAGCCGGTACTCTTCGCGGGCTCTTTGCGACACAATTTGGATCCTTTGGATCAGTGGTCAGACAAACAGATATGGCGGGCCTTGGAGTCGGCGCATCTGAAGACATTTGTGGACAGTCTTGAGAGTGGACTCAATCACGAGATCTCCATCGACGGCGAGAATCTGAGTGTCGGACAGAAACAGTTGGTCTGTTTGGCGAGAGCTCTGCTCAGACGCACCCGAGTCCTGGTTTTAGACGAGGCCACCGCCGGTATGTCTGTCCCCATCACATACACCCATAGTCTGGGTCCCTGACATCGCATCCTAATAGTGATTATTATATATATATTTGTGTTAATCAGCGGTCGATATGGAAACGGATGACTTGATTCAGAAGACAATCCGCGAAGAGTTTTCTTCGTCGACAGTCGTGACGATCGCTCACCGATTGAATACAATCAGAGATTACGACAAAGTGTTGGTTTTGGACAACGGATTCATCGCTGAGTTCGGACCTCCGGAACAGCTCTTGACTGACAAGACCACTATCTTCTACTCGATGGCCAAACACGAGGGCATTGTCTGAATGTTTCAGCGATTTCGTTCAATATTAAAATGATATAAAAGTTTAATAATAAAATTTAATTAAATAAAATGTAATTCAACTTTTTTTATTGCTTTACAAAGAGTTTAAACTTTTAAAAAAAATTTTGTGCTAAATACGAACCAGAAATACCTTGATAATGTCAGATCATAACAAATAAATTGAGTAATAGTTAAATTTATTTTTCATCGTCCTTTGAGTCTAATTTCTATTAAATACAGTTTTTTAAAAATTATTTTTTATAAGACAATTTTTTTACATGAAAATATTTATAAAATGGTTGTAATTATTTTCTCATAAAGAAAGTGTTATATATTTACAATGCTGTATTTATTCTCTATGTTTGTACAGTATATTGTCGTATATATTTATGTCACAAATATCAGTGTAAACAAATAGAATATACATTAAATACAATTTAGAATAAATAAATAGCAAGTAACTTTATTTTAAAAATTAGCACATACAAGTATTAATTACTTGTTATTTATGTGTTTTATACAGTATTTTGTTTATCACAAATAGATTTTATGTTAGCAGTTGAACATACATTTATATTAAAATTACATTTTTCCCAATTGTGTGAGTATTACGATGTAATTGAGTTGAAAACAAAATATCTGTCAAATACAAAATAATTTTTAAAAATAAACACTTATAATAAATAATCTAATTTATTAATATAAGGCAAATACTAGTAACTGCTAAAAAATAAAATAAAATATGTAGTTTACTTACAGCTAGTAATGTACTTCTATTATAGGGAATAAATCCCGCTATAGTGAACCCAATATAGGTGTCAGACGATTGTCCCTTAAGACATATGTAGTTTCTGTAAGAATTTTCTGACAAATTGTGCAGGGACACATCCATTTTATTCATTGTTGTAAAAAATGTGCAAACAGATGCCTGTGCCATACCATGGATCATACAATAGGTGATCAGTTTTATGGATGATACTACTATTGATAAAATTAGCTCCATTTCCAATTTTTGTTTCCGTACATTAGCCATGTATATAAATATCATTAAAGTTATTGTATGGATAATACTTTCCATAGTATTTATTATGTATATCCAATACGACCCGTTTAAATCATTTACTAGTTTACATATATAATTAAATTTATTTCTGATCCTGCTCATATCAATATGCTTTAAGTGATATGGCTTAGTCGAGACATTGAGTTCATTTTGTAAATTTTCAATAGCTTCTGTGGCTGATAATGAAATTCCTGGGACACAATAAAAATATAAATAATTGTACATGACAATATTTAAATAAATATCTTAATTATAAATTAATTTTTAGTTATAAATGTTGATAGTTAATTATTATCGTCAGGTTTTATTTAAAAGTTATCATGGACTTACCAAACATTACAAAATATATAGCCGATTGCTCCGTAAAATTAATAATAGACAATATTATATAAATAAACTTTTTAGGTACACTTATATTATGTGCTATTACAGTTATGATTTGTATGATTATTATAACAATTATGAATAAATACAATAGGAGCATGATTATTATATTTTTTGCTTGTTTTAAAGATCCTAATTTAATCCATTGGGTTATAATATGTGAACCAATAATCGGTATACAAAAAATACTAACCAAACTTTGTAAATATATTATCCAACCAACTAATATCTCAATAATAGAGATAATGGGAAAGTCGTTTTTAGCAACAAATATACTTCTAGCTAAAGTAATATCCCCTGATAATTGAAACAGGGTAATTCCAATGATAATCAGTATTTCAAGCCATTTCCACCATTTATTCTTTGATATATCGCCCACTTTTGAAACACATATTCCTCCAAAGGTTACCCCAAAACAGCGATAGAATCCTAAGAATATTCTTATGAATAATGCATTACTTGTATCCATAAATCCCCACATTATGAACTAGGAAGTTTTATTAAACACAGTTCAAAATAATTATAAATTATTTATAATGTAGACTATTTTAATTAAATTATTCTGTATATACCAAATATAATATTATAACATATTATTATATTTATTGTATTAATAGTTTTTTTAATAAATTAAATACTGTTTACTCAATCAAAAACAATTATTATTATTCAAAACATAAATGTAATTATTTGAATTATAAAAAAATATTTTTTTTAATAAATCAATATTTAAAATAAATAACAAAATTTTGACTCCTGTAAACACTTTTTAAAATTAAATGTTTAATAATCCATTAGAAAATTATCAGTACTTTTACGAGAAAATAATTTAACAAGTTAACTATTTCAATAAATTATAATAAGTTATTAATAATAACCAACCATATAATATTATTTATTATAATATTATTTTAAAAAATGAAAAATATTTTTCTCGTGACAATTTTTATGTGCCATAATAGTTTTAGAATATAATTAATCAATTTTCTATTTATCTACTTTCTATTATTAAAGTTTGATAAATTATATTTTTGTTTACGCAACAAACACAAACATTAATTAATAAGACTTTTATTATGTTTATATTAATAATCAATAAAGTTTAATAATGTTAAANATAGTTTTAGAATATAATTAATCAATTTTCTATTTATCTACTTTCTATTATTAAAGTTTGATAAATTATATTTTTGTTTACGCAACAAACACAAACATTAATTAATAAGACTTTTATTATGTTTATATTAATAATCAATAAAGTTTAATAATGAATTTTATAAAGATAATTATAACAACTACCAGTTTTGTTTTTATATTCCATGATTTGGATATATTGTTAAATTAAAATTTAATTACACCAACATTATTTTTACTATTGAATATTAATGAAATTTTATTGTAAAACTGATGGACAAAATCAAACACTTTTAATACGACTATTCATTTGGTTTTATCGCTGTTTTGGCGTCACGTATGGCGGTATATGTGTCTCAAAAGGTGGTGATATATCACACAATAAGCGCTGGAAATTGTGTGGATATGTAGTCAGCACCGGTGTCATACCATTGATGTTGTGGGGATCCATATATATGATAG